GGGGGTCCCGGCTGGCCCGGAAGCGCCGCCGGAGCCTGCAGGCCCCGGGGAGCCTCCTGCCGCCCGCCCCACTCACCCCCCTCTCCCGGGAACTGGGGCTCCTGGCCAGCACCCCGGACCCTGCAGGATAAGGCTCTGCCCGTCCCCGCCCACAGCACCATTCCTGCTGCCCAGGGCTGCACCTGCCCCTGCACCCCCACCTGGGCCACGAGGCACCCGTGAGGCGGGTGGCTCTGTGGCCTGCGGGCGTTTTGCACGCCAGGTGTGCAGTGAGGGTCTCCAAGGAGGTGAAGTGTGGGGTACGGTGGGAGCCCAGGCACCCCAACTTCTAGAGAATTGAGTAGGGACCAGCAGAGACACGGCAGCCCGGGACAGGAGCAGGGGGCTGGAGCCCGGGGGTGTTCTGCTGCACTGGACGCTGGGCCTTGGGGAGCGGCGGCTCTGAGAAGGGCTCCCGCGAGGCCGGGGGTGCCGGGGCGGGGAGCACCTCGGGAGGGGACGCTCAGGCCGCCCGCCAGCACGGCGCCTCCGGGAGTGGGGTGTGGTGCAGGGGCCTTCGGGGGGCCAAAGCAGGCCCGGCCGGGAGCCGGACGTGAAGGACACTTAGAGGTCACAGGTCGGAAAACGAGGCGCCGATTTCAAAGGCGCAGAAGAACTGGCCAGACAGGCCCGGGAGGCCGCCGGGCGTCTCCTCCCAGGCCCCTCGCCCCGGAGCTCCGCCCGCACGTGGGGTGCGTGGGGTGCAGGGTGCACCCCTGGGGGCACGGTCTGGGAGGCTGGCGAGGCCGCCTGGCACGGCGCTCCCGGTGGTCACCGAGAGGCGCTGTGAGGTCAGGGCCCCAGCTGGGCCCTGGGCAGACCCCTACCCCCCACCCCGCTCTGCTCTCCCTGCTGGCTGGGGGAGCCCCGACCGCGTGGCTGTGCCAGGCGGGAGCTGGGGTGCAGGACTCGGGGCTTTGGGCAGGGGGGCCACACCGCAAGAGGGAGGGGTGACGTCACGTTCACCCTACAGTAAGACGCAGCCCAGAGAGGGGGCTGCAGAGCACCCCCAATCCTGTTCTTCCAGCTCACGGCGCGGCCCCCCCGGAGGCCCACGGGGCCCTGGGTCACCCGAGCCCCAGCTGCCACGGGGGGCGCGGCGGGTCCCCCGCAGAGGCTGCCTGGCCTCGGCAGCCCCGTCCGCCCGAGGCGAGGGCAGCAGCGTCCAGAATGCAGGCGCAAGTTCCCAGCAGGACGAGCGGGCGGCGGCTGGACCCGCGTGCAGGTTCCGGGGAGCCGGAGCC